TGGGGTGGGGAGGAGTGTATGGAGGACAGCCATGGATGCCAGGGAAGAAGGGGGGGGAAGGTGGGACATAGCAGAGGGTGGGGGATGGGGAATCAGGGATGGCAGGACAAAGGGCAAGGTATGCAGGACGAAAGAATTGGAAAATTATTTGCTGAGAACATATATGTGGATGTACTTGATGGAGACAATGCACAGTGTATTTTGGATGGAAAATTCATTTGTGTGTTGTGATGGTGTAAAGTGAATTAATAAATAAATAAATTTAAAAAAAAAAAGAAATATTCAAAATTCAGAGTAGGAGGTTAATGACTTACAGAGAATGCAAATTAATCTTTGCTCAGAAATGGGAACTGGGCTGCTAGTGGATTGACTGTCCTCACTCACTATGGTTCTGCCCCTTCCAACTCCCTGAACACACCCAGCTGTGAACCTCAAGTCATTACACACAAGTGTTTGCCTCTACACTACGTCAACCTTCAACAAAAATCTACTTACTCTTCCTTGGCCCTTGGAAATTTTAGTCCCTGGCTAACTATCACCAACTACATTACTTCCTGTCACACTTTTTACTGATTTTAATATTACACTTCATGGTCCTTCCTTCCAGCTCACTTCTTCTAGTGCCCAGATACCAATAAACTTACAAGCCCGCCATTAGCACCCACTAATGACACCTCTAGAATAGCCCCAGTGACAGTGACTGACTGTGCTTCTTTAAGCCCATGATTCCTTCCTTCTCCATTCGTTGCTTTACATGTTTTTTTAATTGCTAGAGGGCACAGGAACTCTAGACACACACAGAGAAAGAGAAAAAGAGGGAGAAATCAGCCCCTAATGGCCATGCTACACATAACCCCTTCTCCTCTACTACTTCATCTTGAAAGGATTTGGGGCACACATGCACATGTACCCAGCATGTTTTTAACCTGCTAGAGCTGCGATTTGAACCAGGGTCACCATGCAGGATCTGGCTTCCTTAACCACTAGGCTAAGGGGCTGGTCTATGACCTTACATTTTGTCATCAACTTTTCCCCTAAATAATTTATTGTATACTAATTTATATCATTATAGTCTCATGTGTTCCCATTTAACTGAATGCATTATAATCCTTTATCATAATGATTTATTTATTTATTTATTTATTTTTGAGAGGTTTTCGCTATAGGGCGCGTGTGCTCGCCAGACAGACAGAGAGAGACAGAGAGTCAGAAAGCGAGAAATCACCCCCCAGGGGGGATGGTCACGCCACAATCCCTTCTCCTCCATTCTCCTCTCGGGATCTTGAGCACGTGGGCACGCACGCATGCACACGTGCCCGGCTTGAGTTTTAAGCCACTGGATCCAGGACGCAAACCACTGTCGACTATGTGGGAGTCCAGCGACATAGCCATTATGCTAACTGCTGGTTTCCCATAATGATTTATTTTGATCCTCAAATTTGTTCTGGATGTGCCCAGTGGGAGTCCTTAGGCTGGATCCTGGTGCCTCTAACACTGCCACATAGTTCTCTGGGCATTTCAGCAGATCCAGTATAAATGATGCTCTCCTCACACACTGTCCTTTCTCTCTC